TGGTCGTAAATATAGAAATATGAATGTGTATATTCAAAGAGAAGTATGAGTAAGAAAGTCAAGACAATATGATGACTTTTAAATACCTATGAAAATCAATCGTAATATACATTGAAATGATATGCTTTCTAGAAAGACAAATATTATGATCATCATAGCATGACTTATAATTGCTAAGAGTAATAATCTTGAAGTTTGGTGCAATATGTCATAAAATGTCACATTTTACATATCCTTTGATTCATCTAAAGACTGATTGTCTCGTTGAAGTTGACTAGAGATAAGATGTTAAAAATGATGATTAAAGCGCTTTCATACATCAGTGTGATTTGTGATTAAACTTTGGGAACTATGGTGATTACTATGTTATATCTGCCTTTAGTTGCATGGGTTTCACGTTTTCAGGTTACGTATAATGAATCTCAACAAAAGCTTATGTTACTTGTCTAGCAAGAGTATAATTTACAGTTTATGGCTGCAAATGCTCGGTGTCTCTCATGTTTCTATATTGTAAAACCACCACATTGTTGGCATCATGAAACATGAAGAATGTATTTTGGATCATCACTATTCGATTTGCCACCAAGTGTAAAGTGAAAGGCAATTCGATAAAGGGTTGTAGTGTATTCGGCTCTGGTAGTTAAACCATGAACTTTCAATTGTTGTGCAGGGAAACACATATTTTAGTGATAAATAAATATGCTCGTCGCTTTTGTAGTTTGTCCTGTTCACATTACATAAGGACTAGTCTTCATACTAAAGCAATAAAGTCGTAAGTTCAATAAGGTTTCAAATATCAAAGCCTTGGCCTTTTTGTCTCATGTGACTGTTTACAACCTATGTTCCAAGCTACATAGCTACGGACACTATCAGCTAGTTATTTAAACAAAGTTATCAAGACTTGGTCATGAGGAGAAAAAGTAGAATACTATCTCCCGTCTAGGATGCCAATAAACAACCAGTACAGATAGTCACGAGTAGGCTCGTGACTGAGGGTAGAGACCTACAGTACTCGTTGTAGGTGGGCAGGGATTGTTCTTGTTATAGGGCACCGATTCATATAGCAAAGAGGATTGTGAGATCCTCTTGGTTTCGTTTAAGAACGAAGGGAAAACGGTTAGATTGGGCTGCCCTCCAACAGAACCAAAGATTCAATACCCATTGTAAATCCGTTTTTCGTTCATTCTCCGGGGCTCGAGTACTGAGCATTTTGGCATTTTGGCAGTAGAAAAAGTAGAATACATTGGATGGATCCATCCAATGTCAAAAGCCAAGGACCATCAACGTCGACGAACACATGAGAAGCATGAATTTCTTGCACAACTCGCTCCCAAACTGAAGCTGCCACTAGCCAATTCAGCCAGCCACTGAGATAGTTCCAAGATTGTCCAATGTGGAATGCGACCTGGTTGGTGGTGGGCACTTCTGTCACGACACCCTCAAGCTCTCAGTCTCAGCAAGAACTTTCCTGTCTGCCAATTGAAACAACATATATCACCAAAGCTTCCCCAAAGAATCTGCACCCCAGACTCGAGCAACAGCAATTGATCAAGCTCTTGCGGGTTTCCAGCACGAAGAGTCGTGTCATGCTCCCTCTTACTCCCTGTCCCCACCTCCTTTCTCCATTTCTATTCTCCCTCGTCACTCACTCGTTTTTCTTTCGGACCCTCTCTAAAGCAATTAAATTTAACATGCATTCTCGAAAGGGAAGGAAATTATACATGGCATCGTAGCACCCAAACGTTTTGTTTGGATTGAGACACTCAAATGGAGATAGGAGTGAAGAAATAGCAATACTTTCCAGAGCTCACGTTTCTCATACTCGGCAACTAAATCCGCAAGTCACGGATCGTGCTGATAACGTTTTATGAACTGAAAAGACTGATTTGCACAACACAGATCACACAACAGGCGTGAGAGAATCAAAAACTAGATTTACTGAGAGTACACTGATTTCAGCAACGTTCGAGAGTCAAAACAAACATCCCAGAGTACATTGGGACCGGAAAAATATAGTTATGGCCATGTAATTGTCACGCCGAGTACCTGTCGGTGTAATCTGTGTGTTCATGGAACCTCTGTGCGGTGTCGGTTGGTGTGTTGGCGTTGGTGTTGTTCCCGAAACACCTTAGAATTGTTCTGAACTTGTAATACATTCTCCTGTCCAAAATAGCATCCTTTGACGTCATTAAATCTTCTACATATTATTGTAACCAATTCACTTCAAAAATTTCTTTATCTATTTGAAGTGAATAATACTTCAGGTTAATTGATGACTTACTTAAAGCTATGTCATGGTTAAATATTGTATCATAATGAAGTGGTTGAGAATAGATTTTGTCAAGTGTTTTTTAATATAATGTAATTGATTTATATCGCGAGCAACTCGTTCTCGTAATGTGTTTGACATGGTTCTTTCTGCTATGCCGGTTCTCTTGAAAAGCTTTCGCTGAGCAATGCGGATGAAATCTGGAAGTTTCAGACTTTTTTCTTTCGGAATCAAAGTATGAACGACAACTCCAATCCTAGCTCTTACGAAGTAGTCCTACCGCCACAACAATGGCGGCGAACCAAAGGAGTAGGAATCCTCGGCTCCGTGAGACTCTTCCCCAACAAAACACGCAGTTTTCAATCTCTTGACTGCTAGTGGAATATTTCATGATGGTGATAGTTCTTAAAAATCTTTGCTCTCAGTCAACCAGCTCGTGATAAATATCCAATGTGCTCTAGCTTCTGTTGAAGCGCGATAGAACTAGAAGGAAGACAAAGAAGAAAGGGGAGAGTGAGATAAAAGTTTGTTTCAATTCGAAGGTGTTTATGTGGGCTCCCTTGGGACAAAAAGAACTAGGAAAACATAACAACCATGGGAACAAACCCTTGAGCACTAGGGTATTTAAGTTGCACTCTCTGGAACTCCTGAGAGTGCTTCGTGGGTACTAGGTAGGTCCATTCATGTGTTAGCTTTGTGTAATAAGCATTGGATTTTGCAGTTTAAACATGGAATATCTTGGGAGTGAAGTGTGTGTTTTCTTGTTATGAAAACGAAACCGCCTATGTCAAAATTTTTTTAATCCATTCTCTTGCCATCTACTTCATTTGTTTCACGCTCTAAGGTTGGGATTCTTCTTATCGTCACTTTGTTGTCATTACGTAGACCTTATTACGTAAAGAGTTTCAGAGTAAGCAATCACCTTTCTCCGAGAATCATCTTGAATCTCGATGAGATTCACTTGATACTTTGCTTTGTCATACGCATTGGCAAAAGTCTCATGTGCATCACGACCTCCTTGTGCATCCTGATTGGGACAATCTCTCAAAATGTGATCCATTTCTTTGCAAGCATAACAGTGTATCTTGTTTGAGTATTGTTTTGTGCCGCAAAAGCTACGAGTTTGAAGGAGTTGTAAACTAAGTTGCGTCATTTGCGACATAAGTTGTTTCATAGCAATTAAAAAATATAATGAAGGCTTAAAAACGTTTAAGGATACACCCCTTTTTGCTAGATCCTTAAACGTATGCTTGGAATCCTCATAATTTTTCCCCAACAAATTGTGGTTGCTTTGTGGCGGGCATCTCTTGCCCACTTATTTTCACCTTGGTTTTTGTTTTGTGGGTAGTTCAATGTAGTGAAATTGTACACTTTTTGTTGGCAATCTTTTAATGTGATTATTAATATCATTGGTAGTACATCACAATTTGAGATCAGACATTGTATATATTGCTTCAAGAAAAATAGTACAAAATTTTAACTTGTTCATTGTTGTATTCATTTAAAACTTGAGTTTGATATATTATATCAAACTATTATAATATCTTATCAATCAATATTTATGAATTATTTCTATTAAAATTATTTTCAAGAGATAAATTTTTAACTTTTTTTTATGATTTTATGATCCGTTTGAAATTTTAATTTCATTTGATATTTCATAAAATCCAAATTTTAATTCTAATGTAGTAATGAACTAACATCATAGTCATACTTGAAACTCATATTTAAATAATTAAAATTATGCCATTAAGATTTTATCATGTTTATTTTAGATTTTACAATTTTTTGATATAGTCATGTGTTTAAAATAGGATTAAAATTAAGATTTATGTCTAATTGATTTATCATAGTGATTTTAACATTTTATTATCTTTGCTTCACATTCATCATATTATTATTGAGTACTGTTTTTAGAACAAGGTTTGTAGAAAAACTCATATTCAATAGATTCAAAACTGTGATTTTAGTAAATTTTAATCTATATTATATTTGATTTATTATAATTGAGAAGTGCGTTTAAAATTTTGAAACATGATACATATTATTAAATTTCAGTGTTTTTAAATATTTTATTTTATCCCTATTAATTTCCCTTTCATTTTTTAAAATTTTAATTCTGTGTTAAGGTTAAATTTCAAAACTCCTAAATATGACCATAAAGTGTTTAATATTCTTCACTCCATTCTAGTGTCTGAAAAATAGATTGATATCAAAGAACTTTAGGTCATGAAACTCTTTAAGTTTATTAGTCATTTTTACATTCAGAATATTGTAACAGCTATTTTCCGACTTGTTCTCATTCTAATCCAGAAGAATTTTGCTGCCATTTAAGAGGAACCAAATTTAATCATGTGCTATGTACAAAGAACAATGTAGTATAATTTGCTACTGACATGAAGATACGTACGCATTCTAACGGTTACGAACACAATAGGATCCATGACTAGATTAAAGTGAAAATGTACAGAGTCCAAAAATAAAATCACACCCCGAATTGCCAAAGCTAAACAAAGTTATAAGGGAGCTAGTGGATAGAAAAATATTACTAAATAATGTTACTTTCCATTCTCCTTGTAAATGGACACACAAGAACAAACATGCCTATCAAGACCATTTTCCGCTAAATTGCAGGAGTTTTAGACTACCAGTAACATGGTGAGGGAGACGCCAGAGGGACTCGGTCGTGGTGAGTCCGATTGACTTCAGATGAACGAAACCGTGTTGAACCACGCACGAACGCGGTCGCAGTGCCAACGTCTCGCTGGTGGTTCTGAAAGCGCGAGCATTTCGAGCGTGCTAATTCGATCGGCTTTTCTCGACCACTTGGAACTTGGCCGGGTTTTGAATTCGGCAGGAACGTCGAAGTTTGGCCATTTAATGTAATGCGTGTGCTGCATCTTGCAATTTTGGCGAGAAAAAGTCGTTCTCGTTGGTACTCTGGGGTTTCTTGGCGGACTTTCTCGATCTTTTTCTCGAGACCAACATGCGGGGCTCAGTCAATGTTTTTTGAGAACGGGGAGAAATTTCAGAGGTGATTCTTGAGCAAAAGTGTAACGAACTCGTAAAGTGCGTCGAGTTATCCGGGTTTTATCGTTATCGTTTGTCCGCAATGGATTCCGCACCGGCGGGAGCGACGCGGATGGGAAGCCGTTCATCGACTAGACACGGGGGTCCTGCTCAGGTCTTTGTAGGGCCGGTGCGGCGCTGGCGTAAGGTTTGGTCACCTGTCAGCTCTTCCTCTCCGTCGCCTTCAGCTGCTCGTGTTCTCTTGTACAAGTGGAACCCTCTCACACCATCCACCGGAGGTATTTCAATTGCCATGCCGACATGTTAAGGTTTTTCTTAGTTTTCTAACTTTGCACCTTACGCATTATCCGTTGTGACATACTCTCCTTATTCTTGAGTCATCGCGGCATCTTGCCCTGATCTCGTGCTTAAGCACTTCTTCAAACAATCTTTCTCTGCCACTGTCAGCTGATATTTTGCGAGGGTGCGAATGCTGAATTAAATGTCTGGAACAATTCTCTGCTCAAGATATTTTTGTCTGCAATCAGGCCTTTAACCAGCTCAATCAGCAAATTTTGAAATTCGTAATGTTTTCAAAACTTTAAATCTGGTCGTTCGAGTTCTACTACCTTTCAGTAATCCAGATTTGTTGGATCCCGACCACTGCTTTCCTTAGGAACCGGAGCAAAGGAGGACTCTACTTCAGAAGAGCTTACGACCAACACTTCAAGACCTGTCAAGTACATACCGGTACTCCAGCTTCTTATTCCTAACTATTTCAAGCAGGCTTGGCTTGATAGTGAGGGCTGGCTGTACTGTTGAAACAGCTGCTAGACATTGTCCACTAATATCAGAAGTCAGTAATCTGTTTCTGCACCACAGCTGCAAACGCCCTGGAGATGGATTCTCTAGTCATTGGTAGTTTAATTCGCGCAAATGTAATTCGAAGTAATGTGTTCAAACTGTTGGAAGAAGTAGGTATTGCAGGGATTGTCTAACATGAAGTTTTCAAATTGTAGCCAAAACTAATTCGCGGATTCGACGGTAGAGTGTATTATGGATGTCTTCTGGGATTCGTATGAACTTTAGGGTTGCAGTGTAGTTAACTCTAGACAGCAATAAGTGGTCAGTGAATCAGCTGAGAGTGCTCGCATATGCTACTAGGGAACCTTTTTTCCAGATCAATCTGAAGCCATTATCTTTTGGTGCATAGATTCAGGTCTTGATTCAGAAAGACGAACTGGCGAAGAAAGCTGCAGAAGAGGCCGAAGCACAGGCACTTGTAGAGAAGGAAAGCCAGGAACCGAAAGACAGTACTTCTGATATGGCTGTTGATACTATGCAGCTTGATTCCACTGCAACCCATGACAAGGAAATAAAATAAAGCCTCCGATTACTGTATTCTAAACGCAAGTATCCTTTGTCATCCTTGTGCCCTATTTCTTACCAGTTTATGTCGATTCGTATTTGTCTGGTGGTATCTTTGAGGATCATGGAGACGGTTAGCTAACCACCGGGCTTCCTGATCGTTTTTACTTCAGGATCAGGGCTTTTGATCGCAGATGATGTGATTAGAAACTATCAGATGAAGGAGGAGCTTCCATTGGTTTATTTACCTTTCTCCATTGTTTCCTTCCCTGCCATGCAAGAGCTTCAACAAGAGTAACATCGAGATGCTCACTGAAAGCTCGATCAAAGACGATCGAAGATGAAGGTAGGGGAAGTACTAAAAGTACCGAACTTGAACATTTGGGTAGCGCAGATACCGAAACTTATTAATGCATTAGCAGTTTCCACTGCGTTACATGTGATTATATGTTGAAACTTAGAAACCACAAGCTTTCCTGTATTGGTGTGGTATCCAGAATGGTTTTCTGCATAACAAACTATTTTAGCTGACATTTTGATAACTCAGTCAGCTTCCAAAGTGTAGTCAGTCTTCTCTTCAGACTCTTTTGCTTTCAAATCTTTCAGTGTGGGTATTACGTGACTTTTCAGTTGTACATCAATGCAGTATCGTTTACCACTTGTCACATATTAACACCGGAGCCTCTCTTTGCAGTGGGAAGCGTGACTGGTGAAATGAGACGGCGTGGCTTTTTAGAATATGTATATATGAGGTCAAGTCCTTTGCCAAAAAGGCTGGATCCTTGAGCGCCCGCTTGGAGCCGCTCGTAATTTTTCCCAACAAATTGTGGTTGCTCTGTTTCATGCAGCTCTTGCCCAATTAGTCTCACATTGCTTTTTGTGGTTAGGTCATTGTAGTGAAACTCTACACTTTTTGTTGGCAAATGTCACGGTTGTATGTATATATGTAAGCAATATGTATGTCTTGCAGGTTGTGTAACGCTGGATGTCTGGAGTGCAACAAACAGCTGTAGGGGAGGGTTAAGAATTGCGTGCCTCTCCTTTCATGTTAGTGGGTGAATGTGGATATCAAAACAACCAATGTCTGAAACCTGCTCCAGCGATATAATGGACTGGTCAGAGGCATTGAATTCTTGTGTGTTATTATATATCAGTGTTCATTCGGTAACTTTTTTGGTGTTTGGTTTACTCTTCATGTCTGCAAATCATCCTACGGAACGACTTTCGTGGTCAATCTAGTAATCGTGTGCAGATTTTGAGGTCAAGTCGAACCATTAAAGAGGGCAGTACTTCACTCGAATCATCATAAGCTTGAAAGAGTACGTGAAGTCAAACTAAATCTCGGATATCTGCATGGTCCGACCCCATCCAGTGTTCAAGTTGTGGACTTTCCTCACCTGGCATTCGCAACACTCGTTATGAATTCAAGCGGCAGGCTCTCTTGAAGAGACGAAACCAGCGGCGCAGACCTCCTGGGTCAGATGTTTGGCCTGTGATTGATAAATTTTCATTCAAGATTTATTGGAGACGAAGATATTCCACTTGGTGATGCACTTGCACTGCCAGGAATATGAGTCCCTTCATTTGGTAACAATGGGGCAAGTGACAGCACAACTCCAGTGCGTTGTCCATCTAGTAGTACCTAGACGCAACAGAGAATCCAGTCAAACACCAGTCAATGTCTTGACACGACAGACGCAAGCAGGAGAATACTTCGTGATGACCAAACATGAAGTGAACACCAGTTTTAAAAGGGTAGTGAATCAATTATAATGCAAGGATTTGCCGGGAAAAAGCATTATCCAATATGATACTTTATAAGTTCAACCTCCTTCGATGCAAAGGAGAAACGCTCAATACATCTATGATCATTTTGAGCCTCGATGCTATATTTGACATCGCATCTAACTACTGTACCAAAAGGTCTTTTACTGACCGCTGTGTTTAAAGAGGATCTGCGTAAAACTGGAATCTGCGTAAAATTGAGAAGTAACGTTTGCCCCCTGGAATCCGCAGTAATGGCCCTGATAGTGCGAGAGGCTGTAACATCCTGCCCAACGAAAACTGCATGTACGATTGGTACACCGTTTTTGTTCTCGATGTGTCTACCCACAGACGCTTTATGCACATCCCAGAGAATGATGTGGCCTTTGGAATATCCAACTAGTAGTAAGTCTCCTTGTTGATTGAATGACAGGGAAGAAACCACCATTTGATGTTTCTCTGATGCCGGGGGAATCAAAATATAAGGCTACATAGCCACACGAATACCTCTGTCAGTGTTATAAACTGATGTGCTTTCACAGGGAATGAAATGTACATCCTGAGTCAGATTATCCCTATGACTCCAAGGCACAAAGAAAACCTCAAGAATCTGTGCAAGACAAAACTCTGATGTATCCGCTACTAGTGCAGAATCGAATTTTGTAGTTCTCAACATTAAAATCTGAGCATAGTGAGGAGGACGAATTTCGTAACCTTGGCATCAGTTTCATCTGCACTTTTTGTTGTCGAGTACTTACTGGGGATGATTAATACGGGTCCCTTTGACATTCCTATGGCGATAAAATTACTGTGTACAGCCAGAGCTTGGGATGTTCCATGGTCACGTCGCAGGTCGGCTGACTTCAGAGCGAAGGACAAAGATCCTCCTGAATCAAGCTGCAGAAGACCAATGGCAGGGTCACCTCTTTGAATCCCTTCGAGTCTCATGGGTTGGGCAACTGCTCCTTCTTCCCAATGTAAACCTGAACTGGCAGCTTTCTTTTCTCTCTCTTCTGCAATTTGTAAAGTCGTCCGCTGTGGCTCTTCCTCAATAATCCGAATCTCTTCTTGGCTCTCAACATCAGCAATATCCGAATGCTGCAAAAGTTCGTCTGAAGATGCTTGCTCATCATCTGATTCGGTTGAAGTTCTCAGCGAAGATATCTTGATGGCCTGCGGATGGGTATTAAGTGTGCTGGCAATTACATGTTCTTGCATCCCCTCGATCCAAGTATTTAAAGAAGCTACATCAGTTGACTCTGGCTCCACTGTGTCTACCGATACACTTTGCTCAATTGAAATGGTGCGGATTACGTGGGTCTGATGCTCGAGTTCTACGGGATCACGGGCTCGATATCCATCATCAATATCTTCATCATCTGTTTCTAATACATCGTTTGAGGAGGAACTATCATCAACCACTCCCGAAGACAAAAGTGGATGATCATCTTCGTCGGCATCGTTCTGTCCTGTAGCAAGTTCTGAAAGAGAAGAATTTGAAGAACTGGACCCCTGCTGTTGCAAGTCGGCAATGGTAGAAATGAGATTTTCTGCTTTATCCAGACACTCTTCAATAACAGCCGTGTATGTTTCCTATCTCCTTCACATTATCCTCCTCCTGGGTATCAATTCTACAGTACAATATGAACCTGTTACCATCTGAATCGTCGTGCGAGAATTCCAATTCTATTGGATCATTCGCGATGTCGTCACCCCTAGTTACTCAATTTGGAACCTGATCTGCACTCTTGAGGTATCCACTCATCCTCTTCACCTCTGATCTATTGTACTCCGAGGTCTGACGAAGTATGAACATTTGCCGTGTAGCGAAGGTTTTGGCAAATTTCGATGCGGCAGAGTCAGAAGGGCCCATCTGACGTGATGCGACTGCAGCTGCAGCAAATGCTGCCCCAGGTCTCCGTCTAAAGTTGCTCCCGGCAGCGGGAGGGGGCTTATCCACTGAGATTGGTGCAGAAGGCCTCCCATAGCTCTCACAACCGCTGATTGTTCCAACCCTCCCACCCCTTCCAGTAGCTTCTGACTCAACTCCATCCTCCCCTGAACGAATTTGACTCTCACCTTTTCCCTGAAAATCAATCCCCGCCTCAACAAAACGTGGTGAATTTTGGGCAAGAGAGGTCTGGGGTGGAGGCTCCTTTTCAGGATAGTCATTACTGCTACTTGCAACGATACTAGTGTCCGCCATGGAACGATTCTTCTGGTTAGCTTCTATGCTGGTACTCAATATTCCACTTGCTGCTCCGGACATGTTATCTCCATATCGATGAGATTCTAGCCCGTAAAGACCTTCGTCTAAGAGCTCCCCGTCCAGTTTTGAGGCTGCATGCTCGTCGTTTGTGGCAGGATCGAAGTCGAAACTATTGGGCTCACGAGCTCCAGTGGAGGCCGACCTGACGGGAACAGAATGCCCAAGGACATCAGCGAATTCGTCAACATCGTCATTAAGAATGTCATCGAGTGATCGCTCGACTTCTGGTAAATCGTTTCCATCGTCATCGCTACTCTGAGCGTCCAAGAGAGCATCCACATCAAAGTCGTCAAACAACATTTCTCCCATCTAAGCTCTTCACAAAGAAGATAGCCGTTTTCCCGGCATCCCATTATTGAGAGAAGCAGAATATGATTCACGATTAAAGTAGAATTGCGCTTCGAGCACTGCATGTTCCCTCCACATCCAGTGTTCAAGATGTGCTGGCGTCGGCTTTCCTCACCTGGCCTTCGTAACACTCGTTGTGCACTCTTCGAGCGGCAGGATCTTGAAGAGACGAATACTGCCGTGCAAACCTCGTGGGTAAGAAAATTGGCCTGTGATTGGAGAGACACGGTAGTGTTGCGTTGAGGATGGTGCGGAGTTTGTGAGAAAGAGGGTCAAGAAGTAATACTTCGAGTCACTTCTTAGATACTTGACTGCAGCTAGCTAGCTTTGTCATCTATCCTAAATTTACTTAGAACTGGGTGGTCGGAACAATTCATGAAACAATCAAACCAATTAATTTGCTCTCACTTCAACTGCTGTAAATTCTACGAGCAAGGGAGTTCATTCCGAAGAGATTGATGTTTACGAGCAAGGGATTTCATTCCGAAGAGATTGATGTCCAGGCTGCAGTGGTATCTAAACCTATAAGTTATTTGCAGTGGTAAAAGTCTATAAGTTATTATATGTGCCAAAGCTGAAATCAGATTCGTAAAAGTCTTCGATAGTACACATTTTGAGACATACTGTTCGCTTATCCTCGGAAATTCCTTCGAATAGGCGTGCCTGGCATGGTGGTGCAGATTTGCAGCAACGGCATCAGACCTTATTTCTGGTGGCAAGATTGATGATGTGGTGAGATTTTAGCTGGTGATTAGTCTGTCATACAAGCACCACGAAACTCAGCATGCTTTTTGTGTCTTCACGTTCATTCATTTCGGCTTTGCGAATTGAACAAAAGCATTCGGTCCACCATGGACTCCCAAACAGTTAAAACACGAAAATGTGGTGAAGATTCGAGAAAGGTTTGTAGTTTCCACTAGAGCACTTCGAGGCTTTAAGTCCCAAGCCTCTCGCCTATGCTCAGAGAAAACGTGGAAATTACTTCTCCAAGACTGCCGACTTCAGAACATTGCAGGAAGTGAACCATCACCACTTATTGTTCACCACTTACTGCTACGAAATCTACACCTAGCCACGAATTTCGTGGTTATTTTGGCTAGCCACGAAATTCAAGGAGCTGAATGTACTGTAGCCTTCTCTACCCGACAGCGTGAAGATCTGATCAGTCATAGTAGACAAAAAGAGGAGATTCACATTATTAAAGTGGTTCCTATTTTCGAAAATTGAAAAATGTAATATACTAACTTTTGATTACTTTATAATAAACCGTAATTTCGTGGCTAGCCTGCTAGCCACGAAAAAGGAAAAGCGGACGGCTAGCCGGCTGCAGAACCTGCCCGGTTCTGCAGCCAGCTGAGGATGATCCTCAGAGAGGGGCAGCAGCTGCGGATTCTCGAGGGATGATCGTCACCTTCTCGAAGCAGTTCGATCAAGAGCGCAGTCTGATCAAGAAACTACAACATTATCATGGTCTCGGTCCTTGACTCCTTCGGGCACAACGAGAAGGCGAGATTGAACCTGGTGCCCCACTACAACTTCGGGATCAGCGGCTGCTAAGGCTTCGGCTTAGACATCCAGAGCTGCTAGAGAATGGGAGAGCAGATTCTGCTGTCCCTCGCCCGAGTTGACGGCAACTATGGGCTGGACTCGGTTAAGGATAGAGAATCTAAGGCCTTGTATTTCTGGAACTCGCACGAGGGGGCATGAGGGCGGGAGCTCCAACGATGATGAGCAACCCTTGGACCCAGTACAACTAATGAACAGCTATTCTGAACATGGCCAAATTGGCTTAGAACACCGAACGAGACACCATAAGGCACGCCAACATTCATACAGAGACAATAAGAGATGCTTTTGAGTGGACTTCTATCATCTGGGCAGCGTAGCGGCTGTCTGTAACCCGAGCGGGAGTAGGAGAGATGGAGCTGGGGCTCTTGTAGAGGACCGCTGGGATCATGTCGAAGGCACGTCCACTCGAAGCGTGGAGTCTCTGATCCGGGCTCCTCGGCGGAAGCGAGGGGAGTCTGGGGAGATGATGCGGAAGGCACAGCGTGAGGCGGGCGACCGAGCAGCGATCACTTCCCGCTCTGCGCAGTCGAGGGACCGCGTGCTTGAATGCTTGCCAGCGATCATCCGATGTGGGCAGCTTCCTGCAACCTCTCTCTGATCTTTTTGCTCTTGCAGTCGAATGTGATGAGCATACTGGAAACATGGTTTGCAGGAAGTATATGATGGCCTAGCCTTGACTTTCGGAGGCATAGTCGATTTCAAATCGACGATCTCGCTCAGAAGCGACGTAGATCGTAGATCGCTCAGAAGCGAAAGCGAAAGGTCTGGAGTTCTACGACGACAGGTGGCCCCCCACATAAGTCCGGATCCCCCATCGCCTCGCGCCGAGCCCGACCGGCCGACCGCTTCCGTCCCTCGACCTGCGCCTTGCTTGAACGAGCGAGCCACCGGCAAGGATCGGTCGGGCGCGGGAGGCCGCGTGTAGTGGATGCGGTCAGCCCACCGGCCGCATCGAGAGGGAAAACCTTCGCGACGCAGCGAGGGAGGGAAGGGACTCACTTCCCTCCCTCCTGCGTCCTCCCTCCCTTGAAGGGAAGAAGCAGAATGCAGAATGTCGGGGAAAGTGGCCAGATGGACGACAAAATACCTCGAAATTCAAAACTATTTTCCTCGAGCACTAACGCGCGAATTTGACGATCGCGATTTCCTCCTTTGCTCTTCGTTTTTTCCGATTTCTTTCCCTTCCCTCCCTTCAACAACTCACTTCTTCTTATAAATAAATAAATAAATATATATTGTCAAAGTATAATTATTATAAACAAATGAATTTAAATATTAAATATTTTAAATCATGCAAAAATAGCTTAAAATTTTATATTTTTGGAAATTGATAAAAAATTGTCATTTTGAATATAATATCAAATTTTTAATTCAATTTTGTCTAGTTATGTTAAAATTTTTAAGATAATTGCTTGTGTTGAATAATAATTTAATTAATGTATTATACAGATTTATAAAAAATTGCAATTTTAAATTTTGTTCTGTCATGAATTTGAATATTATAATTTATTTATATAAATAACAACAAATTTTTTTTTTGGCAAATCAAGATATAACTTACTTTTATTAAAGTTTGTCACAAATCACATACAAACAAATTTCATTTTTCAAAAATTTAAGTTTAGAAGATATCATATATCATGCATATTTTAATGTGTATATATATATATATATATGCTATATTTTTTTTAAAAAAATATTTAAAAAAAATTTAGATTCGTTATTTATAATTGCGTGTATTATATAAGTGATAATGATGATGCTTCAATTAAATCTTTTTTATTGAAAGAAAAAAGCACATAATAAATGACATTAATTTGATTATAATAATAATCAAATTATTTTGATTTTGATATCAACATAAAATGTAAAATCATTATCTTATTATATAATTAGCTTTTATTTAAATAATCAAAAAATTGAAATATTATCATAATTAAAATAAAAGATCTTAGAGTAATTTATTTTAATTTTGATTGACGTCAACTGCATATTTTATTAAAACACATGCATATCAAATTTATAATTGAAAAATATTTGTATTTTACTTGTGTGATATAATTATTCATTTTTTATAAAATATTTAAAAATGAAATTTTTCACATAGTATTTAAAACTAGTTTTATATTAAAATTAATTAATTTTAATTTAAGCAATTTTTTATTTAAAATTTTGAAACATAATTTATTTATTAATTTATAAATTGATTATTGATATGTTTAATATATTTATTAATAATATATAACCGTCAATAAACGAATGTAAAGTAATTACACTCAATGCTGCAGTTATGTTGAAAGCAATGGTGGAATGTCGATGGGCACATAATTACAAAAGGGACACTCCAATGTTGAGATGAACGCGATGATCGAATGCACAAACGCAATCAGATTGATAGAAGAGCAGAAGCACAAGCAATCTGCAGCCGACCTCACAACAAAGAAAAGAGAGTGATAATGGTGTGGGCGCCCGTGTATGTCACTTTAGCCCAACCTAGGTTGGATGGTGAGAATAGTTGGAAGAACTCAGCCATAAATTGTAAATACCATCCTGAATTGGGATACTCATCTCTCTTTTTGTTGTGTTTTGTAGTTTTCTCTTCTTTGATAAGTCTGTCCAACCTAAAAGGTATTTAGTCAATGGACGGTGGAAAGCATGAAGCTGTCGGTATGACAAGCACAGAAATGGAGTAGAAGTAGATGAAAAAAGGTGCTCTCGTGCGGATAATAATCATAGTTATGAATAAAGACGGTAGTGCAGCTCTAGGCCTGGGCAATCTCAGCAATAGTGCAGAGTGTAGCTATTCCATTTTATTACTTCAAAAAAATATCTTTAGTAATGATGGGTACATAATTTAATTTAAATATATGAAAATTTAATTATATTGCATAAAAGATATGTTTTATACATTAAATATAAAGCATATCAGTAGTATTATTTATAGCCTAAATATACAAAAAGTCTTATTAATATAAAATTTTAAAAATAAATATAGAATATGATATCATTTTAAGTTAAGCTAGAAAAAATTTTCCCATTAATTAATCGATATAAAAACATCGTTTTTTTTCTCTTTTGTGTTTATATTCATAAATTTTATTTCATAAGAAATGTATATTTAGGACATTGCAGGAAGTATATGATGGCCTAGTGCTTGGAATATATCTCCATCTCGAGGACATCGTAAACGAAGTCGACACAGACAAATAATATCTTTCGGTATCCAGAAGCCTTGATCAGTTATAAGTTTGTGCAGTATTTGATCCAAGGAAACTTGCGTAGAAAGATCCCACAACTATCAACCGATACATCTGATGAACAGCTATACTGAACATGGCCACATTGACTTATCACATGTTCCTGCAAGTTATTCTAATTCAGATCTATGCATTTTGAAAAACTAAAAGATGAAGAGATGCCATACTTTCGCGCAGGGTTGACAATATCTGCTTTGAGGCTTGAGAAAAGATCTGACCACTGTTGTTTCCTGTACAACCTGACCTTTACTATACGAAGAGCAGAGCTTCCTAGCAATAGGTTTTAATTAAATGCATTTGCAATTTCAGTTAGTTTGTTTCCAGTGGTTGATCTGAGAGCAGAAAGACTAGAGATTTTATGTCTGAATTTAAGTACCCCATCAGACTAGGCTTTCAGTGACTACTGTGGCTGATTGTAAATTTGCATAAAATTCATGCAAAATTACATGATTTTTTTGAAATTGTTAACGCTTTACAGCATTATCGATGTCAATGATAAAATTAATTACCTGCCATATCTTTACAGTAAAAAAATTCTATTGATCCACACTAATTATCTTGCGTACCAATTTAGTTTTATTCCAGAAATGTTTCTTCTTTTTTCATCCATCACAATAAATATTGTCTTTTTCGTTGAGCCAAAACTGCTGTGACGGTCCAATTGGTCTTCAATTAGCTTTGTTCACTCCAACCATAAACCACACAAACATGGTACTCCACATAAAAGAATACATTTATTATATTTGACAACGGAAAGAAGTGAAACCAATTCATTCAGACAAACTGCTGACGGTCCAAGATGTTTATATTCCGATTACTGCTGTAACTGCTGAGCTTTGACGTAGTCAAAAGTATGGGAAATCCCAAACACAGAGGCCAATGTTTTCCAACTGTCATGTCATGGGGAGAAAACGGCAATAGCGCGGAGTCAAGAACGTGTAATGTATTATAGGATAAGGGTATTGCACGCAATGCCCCTCGTGCAACGTGCTATGTTAAAATAATCCCAGAAGTGATAGTGATATGCCATGAATTATATTCTTGTAGCTAGAGGTCTAAAATGTGGTTGAGAAAAAGCTTGCTCAGGATATGAGTTATTATAATCAGTGACTAGAATACACGAATACACATGCTCGAATCAGGAGCATGATGACCAGTAAGAGGTGCCTCTTCGGCAGGAGATCCACAGCAGTGTTCAAATGCGGTATTAAAGAGAAAATTGGAGAAATTTTAAACCTTGGTTATCCATCGAACTGATCATGAAGCTGAAACTAGAACGCTCGTTTCAAAATGAGTACCGAAACACCCATCTTTGCCATGAAGAAGCCGCTTTATATCGTGAACTTTCAAGGAATCTGTTTAAGTTCCGTTTGAGCCTCCACAGAGGACGGATTCGAAGTATGCGGGAGATGTTCGGAACAAGTATGCTATGCACTCCTCGAAGAAGAAGCTAGGAGTGGAAGCGCCGAAGTTGAGTCACCTTCAGTGCAGTTCAACTAAGAAATTGTCTTCTACTGGTATCTCAAACCGGAAGGTCTGAATACATCCTATCATAGTTAACACGTTGTTGAGAATCTTTTGAATTGATATATGCTTTAGATGAAGTATGTAGTTCGAACAGATGATGACCAATGCGGACGTTGGGAATGTCCATCTTCAGTTTACAAATGAATAGGGGTTTCAGAATTTGTGCATTGTTCATGCATTTGAAGAATCAGGAATTATTTTTCGTTATTCTTCGAATCAGGAAACATAATCTGAAGTGAGCTTGTAAGAATGTCTCATTGTAAGACACGTAGATTCTGATCACCGTCACTTGAATTGATCTTGAGCAATTCTCAGGACCACATCAAGTTTGGACTCTTGTCATGGTCCCCAATAAATGTCATTCTGTTCAATGATCAGACACATTCTTTAAGAATGAGATTGGGATGGAGACCCTTTTCGGTAATCTTACCGACTGTTTTGTGAACCATATTTTCTTCTGGGTGTTTGCCAAAGCCAAGACAGAGTTATTTATATGGTGTCCTTGGATTAGCCAGCGATGCAGATGCCATTTAGTATCTGGATCACGTAGTCATATCACGTCACATAAGAAGGTTCATCACTCTATCATATGTATTAAGAACCTGATTTATTACTTCAATGACTCTGGTCAGGTATTAGCTCGTAATCTCTTGCTGCATATACTAGATCGAGCTTGGACATCGAACCACAGTAACGGATCGTCCATGACAATACTGAGTCCAGCAGGCTTTAACCTTGAAAGCGCGAAATCCATCATCATGTCAAGATCGCTTCAACATACTGTCAGACATTCAGTAAGGTTTCTGTCCAACGTAGTTGCCGGGAGGATTGTAGTTGCAGACGGAGATGGTGCCACCGTTGTTAGGGCATGCAGCACTTGCGCAACCCACTTCTATAGATTTTCTCCACACGACCTGAATTTAGGCAAAGGCATTAGATTGACTTGTCAGTAAGGCATTCAACATCTGGTTTGCATGGATTGATGGAAAAAGGATTTCAACAGCTCGATTGTGGAGCATTAAACACTCCCTAATATGGGAAAAGCTGTTTGTATGAATAACTTAAGAAATTACAACAATTGAATGATCGAACAACAAAAATTTAATGTCACACGCAAAAAGCTCAACAATTTGAGGTGCAGGAAGTGATGGTTGAGATCCACATTACAAATATAAGAATATGTCTGTACCTGAGTGTAGTGACCGCATATTTGACCTGCTGCACAAGTATTGGTCGCATAGTTGTAGTAGATTTTCTCACCGACCCATGCATTGACAGCGTCGGCTGGGGTGCTCGACCAACTGGCCCAGAAGATGTTTTCTCCATACGGATTGTTTGGGCGATGTTGCAGGGGACAACCTCGAGACGCTAGATCGTTGGCCCACTGGGCAGCGAAAGAAGCTAAAGTCGGACTCCATATAATGTTCGCAACTCCGACTATTGATCGAGCAGTATTGTGTGGATTAACCCAGGCAGATTGACAAGCTGCCCCGCTGATGAGACCAAGAAGCAGAACCCACCCGATAAGAGCTTGAATTACTACCTTTCTCGAGGACTCCATCTCAACCTCTCTTCCGATTCGTCTAGAGCTAATAAACACGGCTGAATTCGAAGGGGAGGTTATCTTGAAACAAAGAAGATCAGATGAGCTCCATATGCAGTTATGTGGTAGATGCTCAGAGCGCAGGTCTTATATAGGCATGCAAACTTCGACAGCCATTGCAGTGGATTGACTGACTGATTATTATAACGCAAGACCGAAGACTTCGAGGAGGGAGAAAACTCCATCTCAAGCTCAGATCACTTTATAATACACAATCTTTCACTCACGGAAAGAGCGATTGCGACATACACGCTAACAAACCAAGACTTTTCGTGTATGCTGGCGAAAAAATGTGGTACAATGAGAAGAAGGGGTAGTGTAACATTCTCGTTTGGCAATCCATTCTGACTATTCATACCCTCTTAATATAATTCGAGTATCTACTTTATCTTACGTAGAAGATTTCCTTAATTTCAGTGTAAGGATATAGATACCAAAGCTGCAGATTCATAAACTCTTGTGATTCATGTGATGAAAAATCATTTGAACTGCAGTCAACTAGGGTGAAACTTTTGCTAGCTGTTAGTGTTTCTTTGGTCTCTGGACTTTTGATATCATGCTGATATAATTGGTAGGAAAGTTTAGTTTGATAATATTTATAATATAATATTGTCTGAGCATACCGCAAATATTGGCTCACAAAGAGGCATGTAGACTGCTGGTAAAGATTTCCAATAAACAAAAGTGACCTGAACAATGTGACTGCCCGTCGCATCCCTTAAGAGTGTATCCTACACTTGGCTTGGGGTGTTTTATAACTTAGCTAATTGTTACTAATCCTTGAGCCCTCTGTTCTACATGCGCTGTTCCTGAGCTTTACGAGATTACTACATACTGAAGTTCAAAGATTGCAGATTTGATGTCGCATTTGTCAATATTTGCACTTGCAGCTTCCTTTTTGCTAGGTTGAATCTGGAACAAGATGTCCTTTAGGAGCTGTCAGTTCGCTTATTTCGTCCATGCTATACAGATATGGACTCAACATCTGAATGCTACATGTCAATATTTGCACTTGCAGCTTCCTTTTTGCTAGGTTGAATCTGGAACAAGATGTCCTTTAGGAGCTGTCAGTTCGCTTATTTCGTCCATGCTATACAGATATGGACTCAACATCTGAATGCTACATGTTAATGTACATCAGATACAGGCATTGTGGTGTTTACCCATCTCAGCGCATAAATCTCTTTCTTACCCTTCATCTGGATTCAAAAATAAATTTTGGCAACCACTTAATTGCTCATTGTTTTCGTTTTATCATTTATAAATTTCCACCTTTCTGTTATCCTTCTTTCGTATAGCTCTGAGTGAGGCGTATGATCAACTTATCAGGAAGTAAACAGTCAATCTTAAGCACCTTGCTAGATAAACCTTAATATAGTGTATCTGATCAGTTACTGACATCCAGAAGGTTTCTGCTAATAGCTTGTTCCCGTAAGTCAAGTCCAACCAGTAAGAGAAACAGATAAATGAAAGACCTTGTACATTTTGGGAAAAAGTTTGCTCACAGATAAGTCTTGTTCCTATTCCTATGCAGCATTATGTTTCAGTTAGTCCAATGCTTAGGTATGGGCATTCTCTTCTTATGCAGTTTCAGCGTTCTATATAATGCATCCTTTTTAAATATCCATTGTGGCAAGACCGGGCAATGTAACGGTTAGTCCTTACCAAATTCAAAATATCCATCAAATATGACAAAGCCCTTCACAAAAATGAAATTTTCATTTTGTGTACATTATGGAACATTCTATTTTTTTTAAAAGTTAGAGCTGTTGGTTTAAAGACTTGACTTTACCCAGATTAGTTTACTCAACAATAGCGAGGTTAACGACATGGTCTTAGTAGAATGAAATATGAGATTATCATAACTTAAATTTTCAAGGGGTTTGCGAAAATTTATATGAAGGGTAATTATTTTGAAAAAAAGAGATATTCAAAATGTAATTTTAAAATGAAATAAAAAGTAATATGTGAATTTCATGGATCGAACATATTTTTATTATTTACAAAAAAATAAAATCTTTAGAATGAACAAATGATTCATGAGTTAATTATAAATTATCAATTTACATTGTTATAACTAAAAAAACAGTATTCCACATAGAATATGCAGAGTTTTACAAAATAAAAGTTTTTCATAACAGTTCTGGAATTTTTTCCAGTAAAGTGTGCAGATTATCACTATATTGTATTATGTCGAGAGTGTTTTGTGGAATATAAGAAACGCATACTTGCCGGCATATTACAGTAGGCTAAATGTCTGATCAATGATATAAGAGTTAATAATAACATGATGTAGCTATCAAGCCTTTGCATTCAGACGCACAGAGGGTTTATTCGCGTGTTTGAAGCTTGCGTAATGAATTGCAAAATTTGAATAACAAACGCATGTAGCAATCTATACGTGGTAGATGATCATTCATGAAATTAGAAAAGCTTGTGTTCTGCCAAAGATCAGCCGATGACATCATCGGTGGGCACCAGCCTTGCGATGATCTGAAAGATTCTAGAACCTGAGTTGAAAAATGTACACACTTTGGAGCTCTCAGAGGTCAAGATTATGTGTCAAGTCTGATTGAATATCATATTCTTGGTCTTTCGATATCAAAGTCAAGTCTGTGTCAAGTCTGATTGAATATTATATTCTTAACTCGGTCTTCTATATCAAATTCAAGTCTTCGTCAAGCGAAAAAGGTAACAAAGCACCTTTTTTCTACTCGATGGCGAGGCTAGCGGATCCAATAAGAACGAGGAAGTGTTTCCACGTGCTGTGGCTTAGCCAATCATGAAACACTTCTTGCAACACTTCTCTTATCTTCAAGCAGGTTCGAATAAAGCACGAATTCAGGACGAATCATGCAAGATGACCTGACTATGGGTATGTGTAATTGGATTGTTCACGGACTGCGTTATATAATACATTATAATACCAAATGAATTATACAACACTAAGAGATCCATCATAGTCCACCTCATTCGTCAATCAACTCCTCGACCCCGAAGATATCCTCGTCATTCATCTTGTCTATGCCCTGAGATATGTTAACACTATCATATTCATCAAGGCAACCACCACCAGCTTCTTCATCCTCGTAGACAGGGTTCACTTCATGTTCAGATTCATATTCGCTATCAGGGCAGAGTTGGTGAAGCCAATTGCAGAACTTTGCATCCTTTGTTGAAGCGATTTGACGATTTAGTTGTTCCGAATTGAACAAAATGGTTGTCCCGATCTTGATCTTGTGCTTGCCCAACCAAGCTCGTGAGTGACTATGAACGCGTTTGGCCGCCTTGTGATTGCGTTCACCCTTGCTTGACCCTGTCGGATTCTTGTGCAATGAAGATAGTCGACCTTTGATGGTACCGTAGTAATGGTCGTCAGATAAGGTCCACAATTTAGACGGCTTGAAGTTGATGTCGCTGAAATCATCATCTTTGTGCATCGGTTGCACAATAAATGTGGCGAACTCACTAAAGATTTTTTGTCGTAGGTCGTTGTTGCCATTTGCAAGACGCCTGATTATGGCATTCGATTGCTGGTTGATTGAAGTCTTTCCCAAAAGCAAGAATTCTTGGCTGAATTTTGCTGCGATCCTAGTGTGTAAAGGGATGCATAATGGATCAGTAGCAAATGCCAAAGCATGGGCTTCTGTGTAAATTGTCAGGAAGCGGTGATGAATCATCGTCACAATCCTTTCGATATCATGTTCAGTCAAATCCAATGCGTCCTTGACAATAGAATTCAACGTCTTAATATGAAACTTGATCGCCACAAAGCAGGCATACGCAGCAGAAAATGTAGCTTCATCTCCTTCCAAATATGTTAAACATGAGCAAATCGTCTTCAATAGTGCTTTTATCGCAGACACGCCCTTCCAATAAGACTGATCTGTAACCAAAGCTTTTAGTTTGTGGGATACATCAATGTCATAATCGACATTAAGAATTTCACCTGGCAACGATGCACATGACGATTTGACAGTGCTGGCACACTAAGCGGCGTAGTAGACGGTATTTCATCAGGTCTTCGTAAAGAGTATTAACACGTACGTCTTTCGATATTTTTCAATGCAAAGCTTGTCGAACAACTTTAGCAGAAGATGAGACAACTTGAATTTTTTCACCATGAACATAATCTGTTTTAAAACTCGATTCACTGTTAGAAAATGTCTGCACAAATCCATACAAAGGTTGTGGATCGTATGGGGTGCATAGCCCTAGGTAAACATGAACTTGTTTAACTTAAGACATTCCTTGCGCAGCTTAACCATGACGCTTGGTGAATCGCTGCAAAAGCAGAACATCGCTAGATTAACGAAGGGTTCATTCTTGGTGCAGAGCAGCCCTTCTTCACCCTGTTGTTTTACAATTTCAACATCGTTGTTGAGATCTGCAATCCTTTTGATATTTCTCGATAAGACAAAACTACGAGCCGGATTACAAATATTTTCCAAAAAGCGCAACTTGCAGTCCAAAACTTTCTCCAATAAATTCACCGCACTTTCTCTATGCAGTTCCATTGTAAAATGTTCCAAGAACATTGCAATTGGTGAACAAGCCTACAGGTTGATCACCTGCTTGCCTTGCACATTCGTGGCACTATACAAGGTAAGGCAAATAAACAGCATCTTGCTCATTGCGAGAAAACATCGTTCATGACATAAATGTATTCATCTCGCATCAATTGATCACCAATCGCTTCTATAGAAGGAAGTTGAAAGCAATCACAAAGTAACGTAAAAAAAACCTTCCATGTTGGATGCTCAAATGGAGCAAATGGCATAGCCGTGCGGTGAACAGCACGTGCAAATAATGTATTGAGCTTTTGATGTTCGTCATTCTTCAAGATATCAAAATGAATCCGACCGCCGAAGAAGAAATCGTACTCAAAATCATTCCGGGACACTGACTTGCTCCGGTTGCTGCTGGTTGGAGCCGATGAACCAATTGTCAATGTTATTATCTTCTTTTGAGATGGCTGGAACCCAGCTTCCAACTGGCCTATTGACCGCGGCCGTTTCTTACAGCTAGTGTAGTGATTGCGCATGCGACCCACTGCTGCAATCACCGGTTCGTTGCAAGAGTAACACTTGCAGAACATTGACCTCGCTTCACCCTGCCTGTGACAAGCTCCAAATTTCTCCCAAATAGCATCTTTTGGCTTCCCCATTTCGAATAGAATAGGACAAATCTAAAATCCGAAATTTCAAATCTCACACTTTGTAGCAATCCTAAACCCTCAAATTCTCTGAATTCTGAACTCCACGGATTGCACGTCGGACTCATTTGGACTCCGCAACGGTCTCATTCGGACTCGAGTCGGACTTTTTTTTATGCAATTATACAAGGTATGGTTTGAAAGTGTTGTATAATACAATGGTATTATACCATTGTATAATACCACGGGTATAATACCGCAATTATACATACAAACCCATAGTCCTCACAGAGGGCACAACTATTTGTATGAATAAACTACAAAGCAAAAGCAAAAAACGTTTCATGACCAGCTTGACACAGAACAAATTGACTTCACATGACTGAACTCATGGTCAAGCACAGGCCGTCCAATCTCTCGCTTTCCTCGATATCTCACAACTAAAGTCAAGTGCCCTCGGTATTTAGTCATCATGATGTGTCGGCAATGCAGCGAATGTACTGGACAATGTACTGTGCAGATCTTCATTTCCGGCTCAAATGAAAGCAACTGTACGACATACCGTCGAAACTGGAAGTCGTAGGTCAAACGTTCTGAAGCAGTAATTTAAGGTAATCAGCATCTGAAACGCGTCTCGTTATATATTCTTCGTAAATCTTCCAAATTTTTGCGATCGTGACAAAAGGAAGCTCTCGGACCTTCTTCCAACAGGTTTCCAGTTTGCATGTGGCCTTCATGGATATGCTAGTCCAGATTCGGAGTTGGGCCTCCGGTGAGCCAGTACCTCCTTTAATGCGATGAAACCATGATCTCGTTGAGTAGAGCTATTTAATACTTGATTATCCTTGTCTAGACTCAGCACGTCGACACGTAAAATAGGAAAAACGTAAGCACAGGTGGCTGTGGCCTGGATAACGTGGAAGGAGAGAATTCTGTGCAGCTTAGCGCAGATTTTATCTTCGACGACACTCTTGCTACTTCATCGGCTGAATGTCGGGTTCTTCCACAACGATATTGATATCGAGTGTACAACAATCTGACGTTCGAGAATGCTGGTACTTTTGAGCTCTGATTGTCATCAAGCGGGACCCGAGTTGACAATCCAGTTCTTCATCAGAAGTGTGACCAGGATAAGCTCTCGCCATAAAACTTTGCCTTAAAGCGATCTGCAATCTCTTGGTAAGACTTCTGGTACTCCTAACAACCACGACAGGAACTAGGACTTCGAATGACTTTTCTAAAACGAGACAAGATTCCACAAGCGACAAGATTCAAAGGTTGTTCAAGTAGTTAGCACAGTACGATCACCTGTCCTTCGTCTGAAGTCCTGGAATAGTCTTACGCAGTCAAGTAAATTCCAAAAATTGCAGAGAGGTTGCGGCTCGCTAACGGGACGGCAATAGTGAGTCTAAGTGTCTCCGTACGTGTGGACTTCAGACTCTGGTCATGGAAAGTCGGTTCCTTTGAAGAGGCCGTGCACTTTCAAATTTGATGAATATCGCATTCCTCAATCTTAGTGGTTATGAGTACTGGAGCAACCACTGGTGGCAGTACAGTACTGGTTCGCCAAAAGAGATTGGATGAAGTGTTAGTGTGGATGCACGTCTGCACGTGGGCGATCCTGTGATTTTCTCTCTGAGAGCTAATCAGTTCTGAGCCTTCCCTGCCTTTGTCTACCAAAACCAGTAACACGTGACTTATTTGAACAATATGTTTGTACAAAATTGGTAAGGAGAAATTCAGAGTAAATCAGTCTCAATTCATATGGCCCTGCACTCATGCGCAAAGTTGCTGCTAATTGTTGACATAGGTATAATGTCTGCCTCATCAAAACTAATGCAGGTGCAAAAACTGACCAATTTGTTTTCCCGACCTTCATGTTTATTGTATCCTTTGTTTGATGATTTTTTCAATGCATTAGATTTCTGCTCAAAGTTTTGGCGCATGATATTGCAAGCCTACATTCCTGCGCGTAGTCCATGGATGCCTTCCGCATTTCATTCTTGAAAGGATATTCGTCCCCAATAGTACGCTTGGAAGTGGACATGTCCATAAAATCTGTTCCTATCGATTGCTTTAAACTTAACAACGAAGCTGAACGAAAGGCCATTCATCTTTGACAGTACCGAAAAACCTCTGCATCTCTTCATACTTCTGGTTGATTACATGGTGGAAAGTTCAAGCTTCCTGCTCAGTAGATATGGATGACGGCTAGACAACACGGATTCGGCCCTCATTGCCACAAATTTTATAGAAAGAAGTGTTGAATCTGAATTTATTTCCTTGAAATATACAGTTGAGACTGAGCCGTGAGGAGATTGTTGTTCTGTTTTGCATGTCTTGTCAGATCTTGCAGCATTGTGTCATTCATAATGCTGTTCAATCAGTTTCCTCATCTGTTCCCGTTTGTTAATGGATAGCTTCTTATGGCAAGAGGCCACATACACAGCTATTTTGAGTGAAAGAAAATCTACTAACAGCTTGCACCTGAGCGCCTAACCCTTGCTGGCATAAAGTTTGAGCCCTTTTAGAGAATGGCATCCACATCTTTCTCTGTCTGAAAATTGTTAGTCAGATTCTTTGAAAGGTCTGCGTTCCAGAGATAGACTCCAGACCTGTGCGCACCCTTCGGTGCGCACAGGTCTTTTTGTGTGCTCGATACACTTTTGTGCTTTAGGTTATATTGAGCACAAAAGACATAATTACGATATGAAGGTGTTTTTCATATACACAACTACGATGCTAAATATCTAAGCCCAACTTAGCAGCTTACTGTATAAAAGATAGACCTAGAATGATTAGGTTTTCCTCCTCGAGTCAAACCGAACTTTTATTGTCCAAATAAAGAAATTCAAGATAATTATAAGATGGAATATATTATCTTATTTCCAAACCAAAAAACATTTCATTCGTTACATCAATGATAACACGTGTTTCGTCCAGCTTAGTCATAACCATCTAAACATATGCATAAAAAGAATAGACTTAGTTATACAATCGATGTATTAAGATTGTGTTGTATGTGTCCAACGAATGGTCCTACAACATATATAGAGACAAAGGAGTATTGGATTGCAGAAGCAAAAATCCAAACAGACAAAAATCAGGAAAAGAATCTGAAACAGATAGAGAATTGAAAACCATAATGATTAAGCACAAACTTTTAAAAGAATAAAGAGCAATAAATTAGCCCGATATGAAATAAAAGTATTCGTTAATTCTTTAGAGGTATAGTTGGTGTCAAGTTGCTACAAAACAACAGATGATTTAGGCCAATGTGCATATTTTCCACACAAAAGTTTAGTTCATAGCTAAGTAAGCAGTCATTAGAAAATGTCTATTGCATGTGTATAATGAATGATTTGTTTGTAGCAAAAGAGCTGTCTACTTGGGTTTTGTTAGGTCTATGGAGGAGACAGGGTGTATATTTCATACTAAAGAATGATAGAGTAACTAGAGAGATCTTTAGATACAACCTTTTGTTCCCATGGCAAATATATCATGTTTTCAAGCTGACGAGCACACACAAGCTCGCGCAAGTTGAGAATCATTCAACTTAGAGTGTTGGATTGACAACTCTCTAAATACAGTTAGAGAATTATTACAACTACTCTAAGTGTAGTTGAAAAATTTCTAGAGAAGATAGAAGCAATATTGAGATAGCAACAATCCTTAAAATTTGACTAATTTGAGAATGTTTGAAGTGAACGTCTTTACGCCGTGTACTCTACCATTGGGTTACGGCAAAAAATTGTTCTAGACTATACATTGGAGCTTCTTGGAAACAACCATCTAACTATCTTTGAGATGAGGTTTATTCCAATGGATAGTATTCCGCTGGAAGAGAAAGACAACAACTACTTACACCAAGTAGCAATGGAGAAGTACAATACATTACTACTAAATGTAAAAGAAAAATATATACTATAATAAAGATTCGTCAAACAGAAATCACATTATTGCTTTTTTGAGTGTTCACCGAGAGAACATATTCTATTCGAGTACCAAGCAATAATCATGAGATCAAGTTGAAAGGTTTGTTTCGTTTATGTCATACACGGCTAGTGATAAAGTATATATCCAACGAGATTACCGGTACTCTTATTTTGATGTAGATTTTGAGTTTTGCAGATCCACCATGACATTCATGAGTCCAGCAGGCTTAAACCATAACAGCCCAAATCCATTGTCAATTCCAGTTCGCTTCAATCTAATGTCATACATTCAGAAAGGTCTCTCTGAAACGTAGTTGCCGGGAGGATTGTAGTTGCAGACGGAAATGGTGCCGCCATCAGGGCATGGAGCACTTGCGCAACCCAATTCGAGAGTATTGTTCCACAGGACCTGATTATATGTTGATTATATGCAAAGGCATTAATTTGTAAGGCATTCAACTTGTGGTTTGCATGAATTGATAGATTTTAGATTTTGAAAGTGATTGCAAATTATCTAACTTCACACTTTGCAAATTGTACATATTTATGTCAATGATTGAGCAACAAGGTAATAACGTCATACGAAAAAAGCTCAACAATTTTAGGTGCAGGGAATGATGGTTGAGATCCATATTACAGCTTTAAGAATATGTCGGTACCTGAGTGTAGTGACCGCACTGCTGACCATCTTCACAGGTATTGCTCAAATAACTGTAGTAATCCTTCTCACTGACCCATGATTTGACAGCATCGCTTGCGTTGGTTCTCCAACTGGCCCAGTAGATGTTTTCTCCATAAGGGTTTTTCGAGCGATGTTGCAAGGCACCACCTTGAGACGCTAGATCGTTGGCCCACTGGGAAGCGAAAGACGCTACAGTCGAACTCCATGTAAGGTTCTGCACTCCAACTTCTGATCGAGCAGTATTGTGTGGATTAAGCCAGTCAGACTGACAAGCTGCCCCTCTGATAAGACCAAGAAGCAAAACCCACCCGACAAGAGATTGAATGACTGATTTTAGCGAGGTTTCCATCCTAATCTCACTCTCCCGATCCTTGTAGAACAAATAAACCCAGCTGAACTCGAATGGGAGCTAATCTTCAATCAGATAAGATCAGATGAGCTCCAGATGCACTTATGTGGTAGATGGTCAGAGCGCAGGTCTTATATAGGCATGCAAACATTGCATGGTAGAATTCGAGAGCCATTGCAGTGGATTGACTGACTGATCATGATGATGCGAGACCGAAGACTTCGAGGTGGAACAAAACTCAAAATCAGATCACTTTCCAATACACAATCCTTCACTCACCGAAAGAGCGAATCCGACTTACATACACGCTAACAAACCATGACTTCCCGTGTATGTTAGAGAAAAAATGTGGCACCATAAGAAGAAGGGGTGGTGTAACATTCTCGTTTGGCCATCGACTGCTGACGATTGATGCCATGTAATTAGAGAATATAACTCCTCTGAAGTTGAAGAAGTCCTTCGTGTCAGTGTAAGGATTCATAACCTATTGAAATTTATTTGATGAAAAAACACTTGACCCGCAGTCAATCTGGGTGAAACTTCTTTCAGCTGTTCGTATTATCTTGGTATGTGGACTTTTGAAACTATGCCGATATTAATGGTAGGAGGGTTGAAAACTATCTCGAATAGTCACCCGTCTGATAAATATCTGCTTATTCAGCAGCATTGACTGAAAAGGCAGATGAGTATAATGAGGCTTTTGGCTCACACAGAGGCGTCTAAATTGCTGCGAAAGATCTCCTACGAACGGGAGTGACTTGAACAATGTGACTGCCTTAGCAGCACGTAAGAGTGCATCCTACACATGGCTTGGGATGAACTAGGACGCGTTTCCACATACTGTGGCTTAGCCAATCATGAAACACTTCTTGCAACACTTCTCGTATCTTCAATCAGGTTCGAATATTTGACGAAAAATGAAAAATGACGCAAGATGGCACGACAAAGGGCAAAACTCTAAGGATGAATGACAAACGAAACGCAGAAAACTCGGCTTGACTCAGAACCGATTGAATTCAGTTGACTGACCTCAGGGTCAAGCACAGGCAGCCAATCTCTCGCCTTCTCGGAATCGGAATCGTCTGTCATCTTACATCTGAAGTCAAGTGCCCTCGGGATGTAGATATCATGATGTGTCGGTAATGAAGCAAATCTTTAGGAGCAAAAATTGAGCAGACCTTCATTTCCGGCTCAATTGAAGGCATCTTTACGACATACAGTCGAAACTGGAAGTTGTAGGTCACAAGTTCTGAGAAAATAATATAAGGATATCAGCACGTGAAATGCGTCTACTTAAAGATTCTTCGTAAATCTTCCAAATTTTCACTACAGTGAAGAAAGCAACCTGTCGGACCTTCTTGACATGGAAGCCTTTCCATGTGGCCATCATGGAGATGCAAGTCTAGTTTCGAAGTAGGCCTCAGGTGAGCCAGTACCTTCTTGAGTGCGAAAAAAAAATCATTATCTCTTTGACTAGAACTATTTTCTCTACAAAAATCCTTGGGTAGCAACGAGGTAAGCCAAAGACTGGGCACATAGACACGTTACAAAGGAAAAACGTAAGCATAGGTAGCTGTGGCATGGATGACGTTCCAGGTGAAAATCTGTGCGGCTTAGCACAGGTTTCATCCTCGACGACACTCTTGCTACATAATCCGCTGAACATCAGAATCTTACACAAGCCAGATTGTTCCACCTCCAACTTTATCATTATTTTATCAGCTCGGCTCCTGACATCAACTTTTAGCGCTAAAATGGATGAGGTAATGTAGGCACATGATACAGTCGATGTGAACTAGAAACTGAGCTTCAATTTGGCAGCAATTGGACTCAGGGGTCGCCGCTAGATGTGACATTGTGGTCTCTACGTCGTACGTTATTGATAGTGAGTATACAACAATCTGAGGTTCGAGAATGCTGGTACTTTGGGGTAACAAACGCAACGCCGATGGGACCAGCCGAAATGAAAATTTCGGCTTGGAGTCTATTTCCTCGTTGCCATCTATCAGTCTCCATCAAAGCCCTTATTAGAATTAGGCGGGACATGAGTTCACTATCCGGAAGTAACACTTCACCAGAAGTGTGACCAGCATAAGCCCTCACCATGAACTCTACTGTATTGCGATCTGCGATCTTTGCGCTTGGGACAATGACGCAGTTAGTGAGGTGAAACCGAGACGCGTCAATTGCTGGTTGAAAACTATTTCCAAAACTATATTTGTTAGACTTCTGGCACTTCTGACAATCACGACTTCAACTAGGACTTCAACTGATTTTTCTAAAACGAGACAAGGTTGCACAAGATTCATGGCTCAAAAGCTGTTCAAACTGTTAGCACAGTTTGTCTTCCTGTCCTTCGTCTGAAGTCCTAGATTAGTCTACGCACTCAAGTAATTTCCAAAAGTTGCAGGAGAGGTGGCGGCTCACTCTCGGGACGGCCAAACTGAGTCCAAGAGTGTGGTCATGGAAACGCAGTTCGTTTGAAGAAACCGTGCATTTTCAAATGTGATGACAATGACAGACCTCAATCTTAGAAATTGAGCAACCACTGGTGGCAGTTCAGGCCTCGTTCGCCAAAAAAGGTTGAATTAAGAGTTAGGGTGGATGTAATTCTGCACTTATGCGATCCTGCGACTTCAGCTCTGAAAGCTAAACAGTTTCTGAGCCTTCCCCGCTTTTGTCTACCGAAACCAGTAACACGAGAATATTTTGAACAATATATATTCCTGAGATTAATCTTTTGAACAAAAAAGTTCACAAGTAGATACAGAGAGAAATCAGTTCCAATTCTGTGTAGCCCTGCAGCCCTACATCAAATTTGCTTCTGTCTACTGACATAGGTGTAATATCTGCCTCATCAAAACTATTGCAGTCGCTGAAACTGACCAATTTGAATTCCTGACCTTCATAAATATGTTTATTCTTTTCTTTATTTGATGAACTTGCATTTGCATTAGATTTTGCTTAAAATCCCTTTTGGCTCATCATATAACGAACTTACATTCCAGTGTGTGGTCCATGGATACCTGCGGCAATTCATTTGTTTTGAAAAGGATATTCGTCCCCATTCGTAGGCTTAAAAGTGGACTTGTCCATAGACTCTGTTCTCATAAATTGCTTTAACTGAAACTGGAAGCTGAACTACAGGCCTTCCACCTGTAACAGTACCAAAAAATCTCTGCATCTCTTCATACTCCTCTGGTTGGTTATATAGTGGAAAATCCAAGCTTCCTGCTCTGTAGGAGTGGATGACGACGAGACAACTCGGATTCCGCTCTCATAGCCACGAATTTGAGAAATTGAAGTCTTGAATCTAAATTTCTTGCCTTGAAAATACAGTTGAGAATCAGCTGTGAGGACATTATTGTTCTGCTTTGCATGTCTAGTCTAGATCTTGCAGCATTGTGTCATTCACGAAGGATGGTTAATCAGTATCTTCATATGTTCCCGATTGTTGACGGGCTAGCCTGCTAGCCACGAAAACGGGAAAGCGGACGGCTAGCCTGCTGCGGAACCGGATACCCAACAAAATAGCAGGCTAGCCACGAAAATGGAAAAGCGGACGGCTAGCCTGCTGCAGAACCGGTTACCCAACCAAAATAGCAGGCTAGCCACGAAAATGGAAAAGCGGACGGCTAGCCGGCTGCAGAACCGGCCCGGTTCTGCAGCCGGCTGAGGATGATCCTCAGAGAGGGGCAGCAGCTGCGGATTCTCGAGGGATGATCGTCACCTTCTGGTTGCAGTTCGATCAAGAAACTACAACATTATCCTGGTCTCGGTCCTTGACTCCTTCGGGCACAACGAGAAGGCGAGACTGAACCTGGTGCCCCACTACAACTTCGGGATCAGCGGCTGCAAAGGCTTCGGCTTAGACATCCAGAGCTGCAAGAGAATGGGAGAGCAGATTCTGCTGTCCCTCGCCCGAGTTGACGGCAACTATGGGCTGGACTCGGTTAAGGATAGAGAATCTAAGGCCTTGTATTTCTGGAACTCGCACGAGGGCGGGAGCTCCAACGATGATGAGCAACCCTTGGACCCAGTACAACTAATGAACAGCTATTCTGAACATGGCCAAATTGGCTCAGAACACCGAACGAGAAACCATAAGGCACGCCAACATTCATACAGAGACAATAATTATTATAAACAAATGAATTTAAATATTTTTTTAAATCATGAAAAAATAGCTTAAAATTTTATATTTTTGGAGATTGTTAAAAATTCTCATTTTGAATATAATATCAAAATTTTTATTTAAATTTTCTCTAGTTATGTTAAAATTTATATGATAATTGCTTGTGTTGAATAATAAAATAATTAATATATTATACAGATTTATAAAAATTGCAATTATAGATTTTGTAATGTCATGAATTTGAATATTATATTTTATTTATATGAATAACACCAAAATGTTTTTTAGCAAATCAAGATATAAATAACTTTTATTAAAGTTTTTCACAAATCACATATAAACAAGTTTCATTTTCCAAATTTATGTTTAGAAGATATCATATATCATGCATATTTTAAATTATATATATATGCTATATTTTTATTAAACTGAATATTTTAAAAAATTTAGATTCGTTATTTATAATTGCATGTATTATGTAAGTGATAATTATGATACTTCAATTAAATATTTTTAATTGAAAGCAAAAAAGCATATAATTAATAACAGAATATTCAAATTAGTTAGATTTTGATATCAACAAAAAATGTTAAATCATCATCTTATTATGTAATTAGCTATTATTTAAATAATCAAAAATTTTGAAATATTATCATAATTAAAATGAAAGATCTTAAAGTAATTGATTTTGATTGACATCAATTGCATATTTTATTAAAACACATGCATATTAAATTTATAATTGAAAATTATTTGTATTTTACTTGTGTGATATAATATTGAATTTTTATAAAATATTTAAAAATTAACTTTTTACATAGTATTTTTATAATAATTTAATTTCTAGATTAATTAATTTTAATTT